TTCACTCTAACAGAAGACTAAATAGAGACACTTTGACACAATCTTATTCGTCGATCGATATTTAATAAATGTCGGTTCGGTGGATAAGATTATGACACGTGTATGTTCTTTAGTATCAAGGGTATATACGTTCTAGTTTTTGGACGGCAGGGGCATCAAATCCCAAAAGTATGACGGATGGTATTGACATACCATTTACGATAGTTCCGGGGCATATTTGTCTTTTTTCCTCTCTTTTTTTAGCTTCAACCAAATATTTTCCCAAAGCATATACTTTGCACATAATTATTTATTTATTTTCCAGAAAAATCTCAAGTGTCCCACTTTCTTCATTATATGACCTACTTTAATTGTCTACGAAATGACAACATAACAGTAACCTATATTCCTAGGGACTACTTTCATTGTCTTGACATGTTTAGTATCTTTCCAAACACAAATGCCACATGTTTTTTATATATAATTATCTAGTATATATATTCCAAATATACTAATCTGATTAATTCAAATTTATAATGTATAGTATCTATTTAAGAGGAAGCGCTCCTCACGAGGAGCTTTTCTATTCCCGGGGCTCTATTTCGAAACCTAAGGATGGAGGATTCCATCCATCTCATAAACCGCTTGGTGGGTACATGGTAGTATCTTCTTTTATTAATTTTTCCACTTGTATTTAGTACCCTGCTTGTTATTTGATTAATTTAAATTTGTATCAAAAAAATTCACTTAGGAACGTAAAACACTCTCTACTAGAGAAAACTACTTACAAAAGACTCGAACGTAAAATATCTGATTAACAATGGAGCAATGTATCACTCCACCACAATTTTGGTCATTCCTGTTTTCAACCTAAAACTTACTGTTCTTAGAAACTGTACAGTTTAAGTTCCCTAGTCATGTGTTTGGTATGATAGAAAATGTTTTTGATCAAAAATGTTTTTTTTAATAATAGGTGATTTTTTTACTTTTTTTTAAAGTGTTGAATAACTAAGCGAAAAATATAATCCAAAAACATTTATATGTAATCTATTAAAAGACTATGATGTTGAGATGGGACGGAGAGTGGTGGTTCGGGGTTGGGGGTATTGGGTGTGTGGAAAAAAGTGACAATAAACTTAGAATGTCATATACGAAACTTGTTTTCTTTGCTTTTATTAGGAATTAAAGTCATTTTCTCATTTTTGAGGAACTTGTTTTCCTTGAGAAAATATATTTTTTACCAATCAAACACAAAAAAATTAAAAATATTTTTTTCCGTACCAAACACATGCTTATAAAAAGGAGAATATATATCTAACAATAATAGCACATCCAATGTAATCTCACATCGTAAGATTTGAGAAAGGTCATATGTACACAATCTTACTCCTATTTTAAGAAAATAAAGACGTTATTTCTGATAGACCTTTGGCTCAAGTTTAAGTTAAATTCCTTATGATCTAGCAAGCAATTTTGTGACTATATAATGTGATGCTATATATTTTCATTGTAAGCCTAATTTTATTTTAGTGTTGTACTTTTCTTTAGTAAGGTATCCAAAGCATATTGTATACTTATTATAATATATGCATGCAAAAAAAAACAATTACACTAGGTTAAAAGTTGTACATGTCATCAGATAGGACATTTTAAAAGTATATTGTCAACAACCAAAACTAATTTCTGAAAAAAAGAAAAAGATAGAAAAAGAAAAAGAATTGGAGAGGGAGATGCCACGTATATTTATCATAAAATTAAATATAATACAAATGATTGAAGGGGACATAATAAATCTGCCTTTTCCCTTATCTCAATTCTTGTCTTCTTATTTCTTTTAATTTCTTTATTATAGCCCCTCTTGACATTTTAAAGAAATTATTTTAAAAAAATAATATTTTAAATTATAATTTGAAATAAATATTTTGATAAACGAGGCCTTAAATGGTAGAAAATAAATAGTATGTTTATCTTCAACTTAAATTTTAATTATTTTCTCCTCTATGTATACTTATTTCTTTTTTTGTGTTGTCGACCATTATGAGCTAGGTTTTCAAAATTAAATTATTTTATTTTATTATGTTTGATTCATGTCTTCGAAAATAAGTTCTTTTTTATTCATCTTCTATAATTGAGAAATCTCTTAATGTCAGTAGTGCAAGTTTCGAAATACAATGAATAATTCTCTTTCCTTTAACAACCTTCCCCCACCATCATACATATATCAACAACTCCTTCAATCTTTAACCAAAAAAAAAAACTCCATGAATACGACGTAGATTTTATCTCTATCCTTTTTTAATAAAAAAAGTTGTAATTTTCAGTCTCCACGAACCGATAACACATAAAAACAATCATAGTTCAAAGGTATTTATGCCTTTATTTTCTAAGATTTACTTGTTATCATCAACGTCTTTCATGTATTCATTGATTTAGTGTAAAATAGTGGCTATGAATAACTTTTTCAGCATGACAAATAGTGTATGATTTGAATTAAAGGAGCAAATAAATATTAGTAGCAAGTACATTACAAGTGGTTCAAAGTGAAAAGATCCTCCTAGCATGTACCATATAAATTTGGTTATTTCTCAACTTTACATGTGAAATGCAATGCATATGTACTTTACACTATTCTCACATAATCTTCCTTTTTTTCATTCGCTATTCAGTGCTCACATTAGAGTTTGATTAAATTTGTATTTGCATCGGGAAGTCCTACATTGAGGTGAAACTATCCCTAACAAAGGTGACTCCATACTCAGAGGAATTCAAACTCGAGACATCTGGTTAAGAATAAAGAAGTATTTACCACTCCACTATGACCCTTGTTGGTTACTATTCTCACATTATCAATTGCTCTTTCCTTTTACCTTTCCTTTATGCTATTTTTCAATTTCTTAATTTACTCCACTTAGGTTTGAGAAGTTCTTTTGTCCTATGTTATATTCCTCAAACATAGACCTTTTTTTTTGCTACACACCTATGATGATTGAATTAATAGTAGGACAAAGAACTATGACCTATATATGGCTTTTCATACACATGGTAGGTCCATAAGTTTGGTGGATTTTAATTGCTCATATCCATGGGTCCTTTTACTCACTTTTTGTTGGATTTGGGTCAGATTTTGTATTGCTAAAGCTAGGGGGTTTTATGTTTTTGGTGTGGGCCTTACATTGTAGATATTTTTCTTCTACCTGTAATAGATTAATATTAAAATTTGTGGCACTAAATTAGACACCCCATTGTTGAGGTGTGCGGAGGGGGATGGGGAGAATAGTCCCCTTTGTACTCCAAAATTTGGTCATTTAGTTTAAATAGTTTTATATCTGAACTATCATTTTAAGATTAGCGTTGCGTTTGTTCATAAAATCTTCATTGACCTGACATATACAAAGATTCTATTTGTTGGTACAATATTTTTATTGACTTCTTTAAAATCTTAAACTCTCCCATTTCAAATTGAAGGTATTGATGCCACGATAGAAACGAGTCCACAACTAAGAAAGTGGAGAATAAGATGGTGGATGTTGCAGTTGGAATAAATTTATTTGTATGCATGATAGTTTTAACATTTAATCTTAACTTTTAACCTAGTACAAATTCACTAAGATTTACCATAGTGAAATTATTATTCCACGTGACATAATTATGAAACAAAAGAGAGAGTGTACAAGCATCATCTGAAATTAATCGTGTATTATGCTTACTATTGGGTGATAGTTAAGGTAGAAAACTCACACTCTCAATAGTTCAGATATGAAACTCAAAAGACTAAGATAATTTATATATGTTTTTGACACTTTTTTAAGTTGAAATCAAACTATTGTATGCCTTCCATCTTCTTGTGTTGTATTTGTACTCCCTCCCATGTATGTTATATATATGTAGTCTTATCATTTTTAGCTATCACTAATATAAAATTAGCAACTAACAACAAATACTATACCCCCCACCCCCACCCCCAATCCTAAGCAAATGAAAAGTCGACTATATGAACCCTTACTATCTATATCACTTATTTACATCTCTTGCAATCTAATATTATATACATCTTTTACTTACTTTACTTGTAGATTATGCAAATCAAATTAACATCTTAAACATAAAAAAAAAACTAATTAATATTATCACTTATTAATCCTAAATTTAAGAGGGGGTGTTGGGGTGTTGGACTAAGTAGGATTTTGAAGGGATGGCCTTTAAGGAGACCAAAAAGTTGTCCAGAAGAATAAGTGAAGATGAAGACATCTACTATTTGTTAATAGTAAAGCCATCTGTTTTCCATGATTCCACTGTTTTTTAATAGTTTCCACATTTTAAGCTACAAAATAGACTACTTTTATTTTATGTTTTTTTCTCATTGGATGAACAAATATCTTTGGCCCACAAGATAAAAGGATAAAATTTTCATGTATTATTAGTAGCGTACGCATAATTTTTAATAAACGAATAAAGAAAAAGAATAAAATTTAATTATCACATACAATTTCTCAACAAAAAAAAATAAAATAACATGTCTAAAAGAAGAAAAATCAAACTAAAAGATGAATGAACTATTTGTCTAGAACATCTTTAATTTGAAGCTATCAAAGTTTTCAAAAAAAGGAGGAATTATCAACTTCAAGAAAAGAGAACAGGTTTGGAGAATTCTTCAAAGTCCTATACAAATAGGAATATAAATCGAATTGACATTGAAGTTATTTGAAATCGAAAATATATTAACGTAATTGCAAATAGAATAATTAACCATATTGATTCAACTTACTTTTGTCAATTAGAAATATGCATGTTACAACTTACAATGTGAAGGTATGCAATATATATAATGGTATTAATTAGTATTATTTGAATAGGTTATTGATTTAACTTAGCGCGATTACTATCTAGGAAACTGATTAGTATGATTGAAAATTAAAGCATTTAAATAGTCTTTCTTTTAACTTAGTGTTCTAATGTATTTAGAAGGGTCGAGCCCATTTTGACGGCTCTACTTGCACGTAATCGGAAAAAGCACACCATAGTTTCTTTCATAGCACCCAGTTTTGTCAAGAAACAAGATATCAGGCTCCACACAACACAACTAATCTTGTCCATGATGTTTCACCGCTAACGCAGCAATTTCATTTTTTCCAAAAATAATTAGGAGAAAGTTCGGTATAAACAGATATATATTTCTATAACTTGTATCAGCTTTTACTATTTGCATTATTGCAGGCAAGCTCAGAAAAACGAGCTGTGTGTCTCAACGCCTCCAGTAATGTGTGTGATAACCTGATTCTCCACTCCCACGTCGCCTGCCAACTAAATCATGCAAGGTTTCCTGTCTAAACAATTGTGGAGCCCCGAAGAACTCAGCAGCTTTCACCTGGAATTGTCGTCATAAACAGGCATTAGTGCAAACTAAAAGATAGTCAAACAGGAATCACAAAAAACTTGGAAAACAATAGTTTTCAGGAAGGGCTGAAGGAAAGACCAGGAACAATAGTTTTCAGACAATGATTCCAAGCGTATCTTAAATTAAAAGCAAGCTAGTTGCATCATTTAAAGCTTATATAAGCTATTAGTAGTAAAATTTGTGAAAGGTTTCTTCTTAATCAAATACTCCATTAACTGATTGTTTTCTCCATGTTCGTCTCCGATGTGATAAAGAAGAAACTTTAATTTTGTGAGGTTACCTGTGCTACGATATAAATATAAACCTCCAGATATGCATACTAATGAGAAGTTTGGTTGAAAAACACTAACCTGTTGGTTTATGGACATCCTGTTTTCGAGGATTTCATCCTTCACCAATCAGAAAGCAGTATTCAGACAGTCATGATCAAGCTTCCTTCTAGAAAGGCAAATCGATCATATTCCCTCACAGCTATCCTTGAGTTATTACCACAATTTGAGCATCATTGTATCTTTGATCATCTCAAGCACGTCTGCTAGTCACACATGATTTTTCTAATTCATTGTTTCTCCCACAACTGTGCTCAACAAGCTGAACAAATCCCAGACGCACATCTATATCCCGAATGTTCTGTTATACAGTTCGCCTGAATTGGACATGCGGAACTTTGGTTCCTCATATCCATTAAAGAGCTTGTTATAGCCCAGCCTTTCATTTCGGAGGAGTTCAGCCATGCCCATGTCATTTCCGCTTGGGACCCCACCATTCCAGCCATCCCACTGGCCATTTGACATCACAGAATTCCTACCCTGGGGAAGATTCAGTTGTGAAAATGGGGAAAGATTGTTGGCCAGAGTTTGTTCCACAACCCTCGAAGAAATTCCATAAGCATCATTGAAAAAGTTATCCCTATTATCAGTGTATCTCTGATTCTGATGCAGAGAGAGAGATCTTTGCATGAGAAACTGAAGTCTTGCCTCATTTTCAAAACCACTTGGCTGTGGAGGAAAACTTGGAGACATGTCTAGACTTGAGCCATTAAGGCCATTTTGAACCCTGCCTTTACCAACTGCCAAGATTGCAGGATCCATAAACTCAATGTCCCCATTGTTGACATTGCCAATTGATGGATATTCATTGCGCAGTAAGGAGGTGGTATCAAGCATGTGGGTACCTGCAAAATAACTGATTTGAGACACATCCAAGATTACGTCCAATAATGTAGAGAAACCAACCAACAGTTCAAAATTACTAACCAGAGAGAGAAGCAAAATTATGTTCCATTTTCTCATATGCAAAGCCTGGGGGTGGGGCCCTATTTGGTGCTGAAAACCCTGGAGGCGCAGTCATCTGAGATCTCGACACTGGAGAAATAACCAGAAAATGAGTAAGTTAGGCACTTCAAACCTTCTGTTCCTTGTGGATAATTGCACTCAAACTAAATCTGAAACACTAAAAGGAACAGATAAGGGGGATAGAATTAAAAAGAACAAGTGATACACTAACCTGATTGCTTATTAGAGGAGAGGTGAGAATAATTGTTGGTAAAACCATTAGATTCCTGATTATTAAATAGTGAGAAACCATTGCGAGTACCAAAACCATCAAGCTGATAACTTCTGCTATTTTGAAAATCTTGATCAAGAGGGCGATGACTATAACTTCTGTCAATGTAACTTAAAGATGGACGAGAATCAGTAGATGCATTCATGGGTTCTTCCTCCCTTGCAAAAGAGAACCTTGATTGATTGCTGCTCTGTACTTTTCTTGAGTTTGATACTCTAGACCCTTGTTGGTTATCAGTTTCTCCCAACAACTTAACCAAGTTCTGAGAGGCTAATGACTCATTCCATGGGTCGAAATCCATAGACAAAATATTAGATATTATATTGTTCTCTCCCCTATCTGCATTAGTACTATGATCCGCAGTAGCAGTTTCACCTTCAAACCTATTCAAGTGCATCCTCTTACTTTCATTAGACAAATAATAAGTGTCATCAGTGCTTCCCAAATATTTACCTGCACAACTGAATGGATTTTCAGGGTATCCATTAGGAAGTTCTCCAATACTAGAAGGCTGTAATACTGAATCAACTCTCTGATCAAAAGTTTGCATGTTGGCTCTAATAGGTCCAACCCCATTGGCAAACTGCGAAGAATAACCCTTGAGCTGCCCTGAAGAGTGTAAAGAGATGGAAGGACTTGATGAGTGGCTTTTCTCTAAAATTACTTCAGGGTCCCTATGTCTCTGTGCATTGAAAGATAGCAAATCATCCTCCATTTCAGGAGTTGTGTCTTGTATTCCTTGATCCTGTGTTTCCAGTCTCAAATCAGACGTTTGTCTTGAGATAATAACATCATCTGCAGAAATCACAGATTTCCCATTCGTCTGAGAAGGCGACAGCTCCCTTGATTTCTCATAGGTAGCATGTGACTTTTGTTGTTTATCAATGCTAAATGATGAAAAATCTGAGCATACATTCTCCTCAACATCTGTGGCATCATAGGGATCTTTTGGTAAACTAGGTACATTGGACATCAAAGGAAGATCAAAGGTATTTGTAGCACTGGATGATGTGATCAAATGTATATCTGTGTCCTTCAAAGACGGGGTGATATCAAACTGACTGTTCATAAATGAAGAAGCAGGACGTATGGCTATATCGGGTTTTTCAGAACTATAGGTTGCATCATCTGCTCCTACAGACTGTTTAACAGGTTCTAACATGTCTATTTTACGTTTCTCTTGACTAATGCCACTTTCTTTGCTATGAATAGCTTTCTTTCCTGCTTCGGCAGGCAATGACAAGACCTGACTATTATTGGCAACAACTGTGGAGCATGTAAGTGGGCTACATATTTCAGCCTTCTGTTTAAGAGGTCCACTAGAACTTGGTGCACTGGCAGGCGGCAGTCCATTAGAACTTGGTGCACTGGCAGGCGGCAGTCCATTAGAACTTGGTGCGCTGGCAGGCGGCAGTCCATTAGAACTTGGTGCACTGGCAGGCGGCAGTCCATTAGAACTTGGTGCACTGGCAGGTGGCAGTTGGTTATTTAATGCACGCGTTCCCCTAGAAAAAATAAAAAAATATATTGTATTGTGAAATTTTATGAACCATATATAACTGAGAACAGTGAGTTTTCTAATTGCATACCACAAAGCGCCAGCAGGAAGAGCAGCTGATCTACCAGGGCTGCTATTTGGTGGAGAGCCTCTCGCATTGGTTGCTGAATTCTGCAAGGCATATGACAAGATTAAAAATTTCAGATATTCAGTATGCAAGACGGGCACACTTCTGGCATCATTTCCAGTGAGATTAAAAAATTTAAGACTTCAGCAATTTTCTACCTAAAATCTCGATAATGTAATCATAAGTAAGGAAATGTCGAGAGGTTGATCATAAGAATAGAGCTTCATATCCCTCTCTTGAGATGCTGACTTCCCCATTCGACCTCCAAATAGAGATTTTTCATTCCCTCCTTCCCAAAACGGTAGGAAGTGCGAAAGGGGAAAATGAAAAAGACATGGAAAAAAACAAAAAAATCAAACAAGAGAAAATCTTACATTTGTAGCAGTTTTACTAAAAGGTTTTCCTGCAGAAACAGAGCTGTCATTGCAGTAATCGTCTGCCGCTGGTGGTAAAACACTCCCTGATCTCCGTTGCATACTAGTAATGGCACCAGTAATTTGTTGAACCCTACTCCTTTAAAATAACTATGTAAGTTAATTATTTATCCAATGAATGTCCATATACAACGAACAGATAACACGGAGAGTGACAATACAAGGTTGTCCCACTGGTCCAGACACAGCTATATACTACAGTAACATATTACAAGACCACTGAAAAAAACTGCTTTCAACTGATCAGTGTACAGAGTAAGAGTTAAAGCATATCCTGCAACAGCCTGGAAATGCACCTGTTTACTTAATTTTTTAAAAGTAGCATTGACTTACTTACTAACCACCTATTGTTTTTACAAAAATAAAATTGGGACAAAGTAGATGCAAAAGTATGGTTGCTCTTTCCTCAGTCATACTCCTAAACTTTAAGGACTTGATATTCCAATGATGAAAATTCTAGAACATTTTAACGAGACGGGTTCCATAAACTATGCTCTTAAGTCTTAAATACCACAATAACAACAAAACCACCAACTAAATAAATCCCGGTACCTTGTGTAAGCCGATATTACTTCATCCTTAGTAAAGCTATCTTCTTGCGATCCAATCTCGTGCAAGTATAAACAATCAGGATTGGTGCAGGGCTGGACCAAAAGGTAACTCTTCCTTTAGAGACATTAAATCTATTGTGGTTCCAGAAAAAAACAAAAGATGACCCCTAATCAATGTTCTGATGGAAATCTAAGTAATTGAGAAATCATACCACACTCCTCAACCAAGCATGACAGTATTTTGTTGTTCCAAAGCACGCTCTGCCAGCAATAAAGTAAAAATGATTACTAAAAAATAACAGCCCGCGCTGCATATCATTAAAGATGAGGCACACACCTTAGAGGTCGACCGTCCAAATTAAATCCATGTACGGCCTGAATACAACGGACTGCTTCCTCCTCCTTTGAATAGGTAATATATCTGTACCCAACAGAAAAGTGAAAAAAGATAGCTAAATAGATAACTGACCTTTTGTTTATAAATTTAATAGCTAACTGATTTTCTTTTGAATGTAAAGAAAAGAACACTTTTTTGAGGATTTTAAGGACCCGGTTGGCCCATAGAATTTGTCTACTTTTTGTGAATTTTAAAAACCAAATTCCAAAATCTACTCAAAAATTGTTTTTTGGGCCAATTTTTTGGCAAAATCTTTTTAAATTTTAAAACTTACCCAAACTTTTATATTTTATAAAAAATCCCATCTATTAATAACCCCAACTAATTCCAATCTACCCTTTTTTTGGTCATCTGATCAGGAAATGCATGCATGCACGCTGTGAAGAGATTGTTCGTAGAATGTGGGAAGATTATAGTAAAGCATAGCTAGTTAGTGCCGTCGTTACTATTTATTTTTTCACTAATGAATCTTCATAACTAATTGTAATTTGACGAATTATAACTAATTATAATTTGACGAATTGTAGTAGTTACTTGTGTTATTAGTATACAACATACCCAGTGAATCGTGTTATTAGTAGTTTTTAATAAAATATCGTGTTATATTTTAGGATAATGTATTATCTAAGTTCATTGTAAAAATGATAATTTTGTGCCAAGCTTATGGGTATCTTTGCTAGTTTTTCAAAACTTTTGGGTACAAGTCAGGTTTATGTTATTAAAAAAAAAAGTGAAATATGTTTCCAAAAACTATAGCCAAACACATTCTGAATCTTCAATCCAAACTTCACTCAAATCTGGTTTCCTAAAAATATTTGGGAATCTATGGTCAAACGCTAGCTAAATGTCCTAATAAACATCATGAAGTCCAACAGTCGTAAAAAGGCAAATCCTGAAAAAAAATTGTTGAATATTTCCATGGGAAACTGCTTGAAACATGTCTTATTGCAAGCTTTCTCAGATGAGAGAAATAAGAACTTCGAAGTACAAGTATCAAAAAGGACAGTATGGAGAGGGGCTGGTTGTATTGTATTCTTTGCTGAATTGGGGAATTGCCAGCGGACTGGCACAGTACCAAGAAACAAGAGGATCCAACGAAGTGGGCATTGGGTAAACCGAAGGCTCATACACAATAATTTTCTTTTTAAAAAAATAAGGTAATCAAAATTATCTTCTTATTTATCCCTTCGAAACACCAGGAAAGGAGAAGTACACTCTTCAAGACTGTGCCACTAAAATACTTGCCAAAAATCCTATGAAGCAGAAGAGAGTTGTGTATATTAACTTACATGGCTAAGCCCAAAGGTAAACACATGAATATCAATGTAGTCATAAACATGACGTATGATTGCACACAAAATTTAAACATAAGAAATCACATAAAATGATGTAGAAAGGGTTTTCCAGGATTAGGAACAGGTTTTGAACACAGATAACTCAACACTTTCATCTTTTTTTGGTAAAAGAACACAACTCGGGGTATAGATTGCCTAGTTATTTTTGTGAAATGAGCCTTGCAAAATTCTTTTGGACAGCATGTTAAGAGCATCTTCATATATAACCCTATGATGTAGAAAAGGCTTTTCTAGAATTGAGAGACGTGTTTTGGAACAAAAACAACTCTATGCATCCATTAATGCTTGTTTGCGAGGCTTAGAAAGCCTTGACTAATCTTTCCTATGTCACTTTAACAGCATCTTAATATTACTGCTTTACATGAAGCATCTTCAGAGCCAGTACGAATTTAAATCAAGAAGCATACTTACACACTGCATGTATTATTTGTGAACTGTTGAATGGCACCAGCAGCTGTTCGAGACATAGACACCTTCAGAACCTTCCCATACTGCGCGAAATATTCTTTCCGCTGCAGAAGCTGCTTTAATGGGGATAAATTTGTTCAGTTTGTTAGATAATATTCTATAAATAAAGAAGTGTCAAGCATCTAGGACTAGGACATCCCTAAGTTAAAAGTTTAAAATAAACTGAAACAAATAATATCTTAAAGGGAGGTGTTAAAGATTCCAAAATTGAAGTGTACGTACATCTTCATCAGCTAAACTGAGAGGCAAACCAACAATGTAGACAAGATTCCTTTGAACAACGCGCACACTGCTAAGTTGCTTTCTCGAATCAGCTGTTTTACTTTTACCCTTTCGAGATGTCAATTTCTTCTCCGAGCTCACCATCCTGTTAGATGACAAAAAAACTATGAAGAATGCAGAAAACATAGGTCCTACTAATCTGTTAATGGAGTTTGTCCGTGAGAACAAGGATATTAATTCATATTTTACTTTTCACAATTTGCTGCCGTGCCAACAATCTTTTCCTTATTATATGGACTGCGGCAAGCAGGACACCGCCCTTCTGTCTCATCCTTCTCAGCCATTTCCATTATGTGATGCCAACACCATACGCATACCTACAGTGAAAGGGGTTCCAAAAATGAACACAAATCAATTTTAAACTAATATAAAAGTCAGAAGCTCTAAACAAAATTGTTGACAGACAATATTAACCCTGTAATGTTGAACGGCATTTATACCCTTCAAAACTATGTTGTTCATTCAAAACTAAATGCATTAACAATACTTCTCTTTATTTCTCTTGGAACATGAAGAATACAAGGAAACTATGAATAATCTAACGTAACAAATAATAAAATGTATCATGATAATGGTGCTAAGCCTCTTCAATTTCCTATCATTATTATGCTCTGCAAATCCAAGATAATCTTTACAAACACTAAGTTTGAGTAATTTGAGATGGTGAACAAATGAAGAGACTGTTGTTACAATCTGGTTATCAAAAGAAAAGGAGACTGTTGTAACAATCTAGTTATCAACAACAACAACAACAACATACCCAGTGAAATCCCACTAGGTGGGGTCTGGGGAGGGTAGAGTGTACGCAGACCTTGCCACTACCTCGTAGAGGTAGGAGGCTGTTTCCGAGAGACCCTCAGCTCAAGTACATCAAATCCAAGTAAAAGCCGAGGAAAACATAACAATCTAGTTATCAAAAAACGAAAAAGAGACTGCTATTACAATCTCATAATTGTGTTGAATGACCAGCAATTAGGGGAATTAATTGAGTGGCTATCTTGCTCTTATCAGGCATTAATTGAGTGGCCCAACACACATCAAAAAAAAGAAAGTCACCTTAAATTTTAACTATAAATTGTACTACAAAGAACATATATGAATCATTTAAGATATAGCTTCAGCTTACAACTCTCTGCACCAAAAACAAAGAGTTCTACATCACTGCCGAAGAAAATACAAACAGTACCAGGTTACAATACATCATATGCATCAACTATAAGCAAGCCTATAACTCTCAGAAGCATTGGCATAGAGAAGAAATGTCTTCCTAGCTTAACCTTTAAAGGGATATCCAAATGTCTGTTACACAACTGGTGGCAACATACACCATCGTAGGGCACAATAGCTGCAAGTTTATCTCAGTGATCTAAGAGACTAAACAATGAGTCATACTTCTAACAAGTGAATAAGTAGCATAGACATGCATAGTGGTGCAGATTTCCCAAATGTTAATGGATGAAAGTCTTTTTCTCCTGGGGTAAAATTAAATGGATGAGCCAAATATAAGATGGTGTTGGTCCAAATTCCATCAGCAAAACGAAATGTTTTGTGATATTTTCCCCAAAAAAACTGAGTTTCTAATCTATTCAACCAGCTAGATTGAAGTTATCAAAAGTATCCACCAATCCCTGCACAAAATTTGTGTTCTTTATGACCAAGCAAAAAACAAATGCATTGTAGGTTTTAAAAGATAAAGGTGGTACCTGACTAGCTTGCAGACTATCCGATTGAATATTTGCATCCTCCCACTAGTACAGGTACAACCTAGTAACTTAGCCTAAAGGTTTAGGCAAACCGACAGAAATCCTCTAATCTTTTTTGCTGAATACCTATCTCTACCATGGTCTTGATTCCAATTTTATTGACTACCACCCACGCCCTTGGATGCAACCTCATTGATGTTTATACTATGGTTCCCAAGAAACTATTACAGGTTTCCAACTTCTCTTCGACACCCCTAGGCACTAGTTATTCCTAAACATTTATATTTTGTCTGTTGATAACCTTTATGTTATGTAGCGAAACACAATTTGTTTTATAAGTTATAGTCAGATATGAATTTTCTCTTATTCATAGGTCTTCGTATATTGTATAGCTTCCTTTTGTCTAGACTATCACATTCTTATAAGCTACTATTCCCTCTATCACAATTTATGTGATTGTTTGATTGAGTATGAAATTTAAGAAAGAAAAAAAAGACTTTTGAAACTTGTAATCCAAAACAAACCATAAACATTTGTGACAATAGATATCACATTAAAGGTAAAATGGTAAGCTTACCATTAAATTATTCATAAATAGGGAAAGATGCCCTTTTTTTGTTAAAATAAGAAGAAATTGTGTCAAACAACAGTTAGCTTCATGGTTTGTTTAAATTTTTACATAGACAAGGTTCTTTTATGTAATTAATCCAAAACTTACCATGAAAAGGAAACATTAAACCCAGCCAACTTGGCAGGAGGGCTGTAGGCATTCTTATCATTTATTTAGGCTCCCAAGATAAAAGGAAACGAAAACTGAAAAATTGGATATTTCTACATAGAAAAACTACCAAAAAAAAACATATCCAATAGGAACATCTAAGTAGGTATTCGGAAATTAAATGCATAATGGAGTTCAAATAAGGACAAGCAAGTACTCTATCAGGCACTAACTCCCCCCTCTCGCAACCTCTCTTGCCCAAGTCAGAGTGGATATGCACAACAATTTCCACCTAAAGCACGTGGATTACAAACCTAAAAGAGATAAATGAATATGAAACTCACTCGCATAAGTACTCTAGAGATGAAAATATCAGCCTAGCAGAGCATATGCACAGTAGAAACCTGTTGCATGATTAATCCATTTCTCACCCCCACCTCTCAAACCCCTCCAAGGTAGCTCCCAAGGTTGATTTATACAATTCCTCGTTAAAGAAAGCCAGGATTGCATAAAAGAACTTTTTCAGAAGCAACATTAAAAGGCTGAGCTCCAATAACCATGAAGACAATTTCACAAAAATGTTTCGAAAATTACAGATAGAGTTGTTATCATAGACTCGTTTGAGATGCACTTAAGGTCTGAAGCTAGGTGCAAAAGAGGTTATTTCAACTTGCCTAGCGGACACTTCAGCGCAGGCACTAAAAGGAAGTTGCATTAACCAAAACTACTGCTGCTATGGTAGTTCTTTTCCAATTCTTTTCTCCATATAATTGTGATTTGTATTTACAATTTTTCTTCTTAGATTACACAAATAATTTTTAATAATTTTCTTAATTTTGCAGTTCCATTAATAACTGCACAGTGCAATATACGCTTAAGGTCCATTTCCACTCTCCTATCACTTTCAATACAAAATTAGATGTCTAATAATAAAGAGCTATCACCAGAATACCAGCAAAGCAACTCCACTTCAACCCTAATAAGCATGTCTTGATAGAAACAACATGCCAATAGCAATGACTAGTCTTCTAATGACCCAGTTTCACAAAAACAACATGGTTTCAAATTACTCATGCAAAACATAGTCAAAATCATAAGAATATTATTCTAGAACTTGAAGATTTACAAACCTGATAGCCACACTTGCAAGGCCTCAACTGCTGATCTGTCATATCCATCTCTTCAGCACAGAGAGGACATGTCTTTTCTCCTTGGTCACTCATGGTTACCTTCAAAACGCAATAAATTAATTCTAAACAAAACCAGTCAAATCACACAACCCCTTCACTCGCAAACTAATTCCCCTCAAGTCAGTCAAAACAAAAATTCACCTCACATACAAACACCTCTACCAAATCCATAAAGAACCATATAGAAAAATAATACACATATATCAAAGTCAAAACTAAAAACAACTACCAACAAAGTCAAACTCTAATACCCACAAAAAAATTAAAAAAAAATCAATTTCCTTCATTTCTCTAATCAATCAAACCCATCGATCCAATGCAAACACACCAACCCATAAAAAAAATCTCTTTTTTCCCTCAAAATCAAAAAAGATTCCAACTTTACACCAACCCATAATTCAAAATCAAAAACCCATATCTCCAAAACCCCAAAAAACAAAATCACAAACACAAATCGACTAAAAAACAATTAGAGATCTGATTAAAAAATCCCAAAAAAGGTACAAAAAACTAGAGTTTGATTATCGACTTACAGTGATGAACTGGATCAATAGAAGAAGAGAAAGAAGGGCAAAATCGCTAAACGGATGAGACGCCAAACGATACAACGATAGAGAGAGAAAGTGAGAGAACCACACAGAGCTGCTTTTTGGAGTTTTGATGAGAGAGAGAGTGAAAAAGGGGTCGCTATTTTTGGAGTGATTGGATTTCGGGTCACCTAATTATTTGTATGAAAAACGGGTCGGGTCGAAAGTAATGGAGTAGTGGCTTTGCACGGATGATTGACACGTTAGTGATTAAAGAATTGATCGGACGGTTGAGAGTTATTCATGTTGAGTCTGATTGACGGAGATCTAGTGTGGGTTATGTAGTGGAAACTTCCTACTAACTAAAATATATTTCACAAGTCATAAAAAAGTTTGATTAAAATTTTATTTTATTTATAAAAAAATTTACACCTAAATTATTATTATATTGTTAAGATAAGCAAAGTCTTAAAGTATATATTATTGTAAAGTATCAAAGTTTTTTTTGAATAGTATTCTTTTATTTGTTCAAAATTTGATATATTGATTGGTCTTCACTTAGATATGTACAATATTGATTTGTTGGATTTCATTGGATATCTATAATTTTTTATAATAAATTTAAACGTATGATGTAGCGCGTTATATTTATTATAAGTTTGACGTGTTATATTTATTAATAAGTTTGACTGTAATTAAATTACTTATGTCTACTTTTACTGCTTCTTTATCTGTACAGTTTGTAATATTTAATCTTTGTTTCAGTATTAAATTAGGGGCGAACTTCTTTATCTAGTTTTTTGGTTTCTTGTTTGATGCCTAAAGTCTACATTGGAGTACCGACTAAATTCAAATCACGCACTGCATGGCTTATTTCGGGGTGACGTTTTCAACAAGATTTTTCTCTAGGTCGAGGGCTTAAATTTGAGACCTCTAATTAAAGGTGGAGCAGTCTCACAACTGTAAATCAAGGGCGAATTTACTAAGGAGAGAGGGATGTGTTGCGTGAGATATGTTCTCCCTTTTTTCTTTTTTTTCTCTTTATTTTGTTGATTTTTTTACTAGTCTTTCGATCCGTGCATTGCATGTGTACATCGAAGTTCTAAATATATTTTTGTGTAAAATAATATTGATATTATGACTAAAAAACCTGAATATATAATTATACATGAAAGAGTAATGTAAGTTTTTGTGAATGATCGATATAGATCTTTGATATAGTGATTTATTTGCTATAAAAATACAAAATCATAGTTTAATTAGGTATATGTGATATTTTTCTTATCTCATTTTCACATGATAAGGTCATTCTTAAGACTCAACTACATAAATAATAATACTTCATAATCATATAATTAACGATATTTAATCTTCACTTCAACATTATATTAGGGGTGGATCTACTAAGCAAAGAAGGGGTGTTATGTCACTTATTAATGCATGCATAACTCTTATTAGCTATCAAACAATCCAACATAAAACGCAACTCAAAATAGTAAATGTTATGACGTAATGCACAGAAATAAAAGACAGTGCAAAACTTCACTACTGAAAACAAAGTTCCCATGATGAATATCGAATCATAAAGGGGTGAAAAAGAAAAAAATACTGAATCACAAAGAGTTGCACCTAAGAAAAACATCAACATCCATAGTGTTAAGATTTTGAATTTGGGTCATAACTCATGGATAGTTCATGTAGACCGACTCAACATACATGAAATTTACAAGAATTTACTCCACAATCCAAACCTAGACCCACCCAATCCACTAGATTTTAATGGATTGGACATGGGCTAAGTTTGGACACAGTTCATTACTCTAGTAAAAATTATGCAAATCACATAGTATAAGAAAGAAATTACTTCATATCCCTACTCTTTCATAAATTACCAAAAATTCCTATTTTTAGTGTCTTTCGGATACATAATATTGCAGGCGGATACTTTAATTAATAACAGACGGATACTTAAATTAATAAGTTGTTCTTGTCAGTTTAACGCGTTAAATAAGGGATTAAAAACTGAAATTATAATTGACTCCCACTATTAACGCGTACGTTTCTTCCTTCAACCAATCAGTCTTTCATAAACCTCTAACTGAATTAGAAATTTTAAATTTTAAATTGTGAAACTTTCTCCATGTTCTTCGAAAATTCAGTAGAAGTGTGATTCAAAAAGTATTTGGAACACAATTTTGTGAATTTTAAATTTCAAATTGTGAAACCTTCTCCCTGTTCTTCGAAAATTCAGTAGAAATTTGATTCAAAAAATTTTGGAACGCAATTTTGTGAAATTTCGTAATGAATATTTCGATCTTGTTAAGATATTATGGATTGTGGAAAAGTAATGTTAGATACGAGCGATACATAAATAATGGGATAGTGGTATCTGAAATATTTCGTTCGTTTATCTTATTTCAGCAATTGCAGATGAATTGGATATCGATGAATTGAAAAAAAACATCGAGATCAGATACGTTGTTGAAGGTAATTCGTCTCCATTGTGTATTCGGAATGATAAATTGTACATAGAAATTAAGAAACATGAGGTGAAATTCAGTATATATCCTCTATGCATTGATACGTCGGAAAAAAGTTATGAAGAGATACAAAACTTCGATGCAACAACATGTGCAATCGTGTGTGTTGAGGGTGGAAAGATTCTTGATGCTTGCTTTTTAGAAGTACTTTTATGCTTCATGTCTAATAATTCTCAAATTTGATACTTAATTAAGTACTTTTAGGTTACTATTTTGTGAAGCAATATATGAAAAAATGTTATATTTTGAATTCTGGCTACATTTTTTTATTGTTAATTTCTGATAAAGTTAGTTTGGTATACGTTGATGTGTTTTTGATACTTAAATGTTTGTAAACTTTGTATTGGATAGAATAATAGTATCAATAGTTGTGATGTGTGCCAAAGTTAAAAGAGACAACATATAAAAAAGGTATCAATTGAATCAATTATATATCATATACATAATATTTTCTTCTAAAATTTGTATCTACTAATAATAGAGTATCGAAAGTTGTATTTTTTTTACCAATATTATGTATCATATACATACAATTTTAATATTTGTGGATGCAATTGTGTTTCATGTACATAATAATTTTCTGAAAATTTGATATCAGCTTAAAAAAAGTTAGAGTAATTTTAGAACTAATTTTGTGTATCTGATACTTAATATCTTTGTAACGATGTGTGCCAAAGTTAAAAGAGACAACATGTAAAAAAAGGTATCATTTGAATCAATGATATATCATATTCATAAGATCTTGTTCTAAATTTTGTATCTACTAATAATAGAGAATCGAAAGTTGTATTTTTTTTACCAATATTATATATCATATACATACAATTTTGATATTTGTGGACGCAATTGTATTTCATGTACATAATAATTTTCTGAAAATTTAATATTAGCTTAAAAAAAAGTTAGAGTTATTTTAGTATCAATTTTGTGTATTTGATACTTATTATCTTTGTAACGATGTGTTCCAAAGTTAAAAGAGACAACATGTAAAAAAGGTATCATTTGAAGCAATGATATATCATATACATAATATCTTCTTCTAAATTTTGTATCTACTAATAATAAAGTATCGGATGTTGTATTTTTTACCAATATTATATATCATATACATACAATTTTGATATTTGTGGACGCAATTGTGTTTCATGTACATAATAATTTTCTGGAAATTTATATCAGCTTAAAAAAAGTTAAAGTAATTTTGGTATCAATTTCGTGTATTTGAAACTTAATATCTTTGTAACTTTGGCATGAAATAATAAAAGCGTATCAATTTGAGATGTTTAAAGCACCTAAGTATGATATACATAGTTTTATGTAAATGATAATGATTTAGTATCATTTGTTGTGATTTGTACCAATCTTATAAGATATAATTTGTATCATGTTGTGTGAAGAATAAAATTTTGTTATTTGTGAAAACAATTTTGTATCATATACTTGATAATTGTATAAAAACACGTAATGTATCTTAAAACAATAGATCATCAATAATTGTCGGTGAATCGATATATAAAAATCTATTCTACATTAACAAGATCATCTTCTGTTGGTGGAGTGTAGTCACTCTTCGGCCTTGTAGATCATCATTCTCGCTAACATATTTCGTCTTGGCCTTGTTGAGACCATACTTTCATAACAATGTTGCATATCTTGTGTGAAGATAGTCACTTTGAAAATCATTAGATGGGTGTTGATTTCACTGCTTAGAAATTCAACAAAATCAACAAAAAACATTCCGCAGTCACTATAAAAAAGAAGAAGTACATTATAAAAAAAGATCAAATGTGTAAGTAAAGAAAAAATGATTCAATAGTTACAGACTGTCGCTTTCTTGTTGCATAATATCTTGAACAAATTCCACCTCAAACGAATGTTGTGGATCCAATAGTAACATGTGAATACATAAAATTACAGGAAAAAAAATACATACTGTTGGTATTGCAGATCTGGATATGGCCGGGGGTCTACCACTTTTCTTGGGTGTTCATGTGCCTCCTTTTTAGCTTTTGACTTCTTAGAACTTTGCTTAGCCATTGTTATAGGATCTTCATAATCAAAGATTTGATTAGTGTTGGTTGTGAGTATTTGGATAATCCCAATACTAAAAGACGGATGATCCATAAAGTATAAGAAAATATTTAAAAAATGAAAAAAAAAGTTGAAGATGAATAGACTACCTATTTCAAACTCTGAAATTGATTGAATGGAGAGAGAATTAGTTTGAATTTCAAAATTGGAATAATGAATCTGTTGAGAATAATGGGGGAGAAAATTTGGAGATGGAATCGTGTGTTGTGGGAAAATCTGAGGAGAGATTGAGGGCGAAAATTAGGGAATGGGAAAGGTCAATTTGGCTTCCAAAAAATAAAATATCCGATTAAGTTAAATTGGGAGAAAATTAAGGAATTTTTGTATTTTAATAAAAGAGTAGGGAAATATTGAGAATAGGTAAAATAATGTTGTGTACTTAAGTAATTTGTCCTTTACTCTAAGAAGCACAAATTAGCCCATTACTTTGGCCCAAATTGATGACCCATTCAAGTGCCAATTTTTAATTTTTTTTTTGGTCTTGATTGTCTTTATGGATAATTGGTTCTCTATAAAATTTGTCAAGATTTCTTTTTTTTTCTTTGTATAAAATCAGATTTGTCAATTCAATTTCATCTTTCATTCCTTTTTCTTTGTTGAAGGCTTACAATTGTTAATTCTGGTTGACTAGTAATTTTAACTTTGACTTAAAGCAAAAATATGACATATTTCTCATATTTTGGGGATCATGTGCATAATTAATATATACATAACAAAATCGACATAAGTCATAACTAACTAATACCCGCATAACTCTAACTAATAACCAAACGACCTTGAAGAATCAATTAAGACCTAAAGCAGTTGATCAAATATACATACACAAATACACATGTGTGCATATATAAATTATTTACGAGCTTTTTTTACATGTACTTAATGTTTGCGTTTTCTACCTATCTAGTTGACACGTGATTGACGTGAAACATAAATTTGGGAGGTGTCTAGATGATCATTTTGTAAGTTGGAGTGTTCAACTAACATAATGGAGAAAAGTTGAGGTATCTAAACATGCACACTCAAAATTGAAGTATTTACTTGTTTTACCAAATTTGAGTGTTTATTTATGTATTATGCCTATTAAATTATAGCTTCACTAATACTTAACACGAAATCGGCTGAATTTATTTTTGAAGCGTTTGAAATAAAATATTGCATCCATCCACGTTTATAAATTGAGAGAACCGTTTATGATACAAAAATTCTAAGCAACAATCAAAATAAATATTATATTTAAAATAATAATACAATACAAATATATTACATCATCCAAACAAGCTATTGGGCACCAAACGTAAAAAGTTTTTTTTTTTTTTAAAAGGAACGATTAAACTTAAAGACTCTCAAAATCTAAAATTGAGGTTGATACTTTTGGGTCTTGGGATAAACCAAAAAGTGAAGAGTGTAATATACAACTTAAAATTTGATTTTAATTAATAGCATGAGTGTTATGTTAATTATTTTCAAACTTAAGTGAGAAATTAGTCCAATAATTTGTTGATTATTGAATTAAATAAATATGGCGGTTGCTTTCTTTAATAGTTACTCCTAATATTTTTCTGATTAAGTGGTTTCATATAATTAAATTGAGTGTCACCAACCCTTCAAAGAAAAATTTCTACGTTATTGATTCATCATAAATATAAATAAATCAAGTCATCTCACACATCATGTGGTCATGTGGAGGTGTAATAAAACGTAATTAAGTAAATAAAGTAAATATAATCTTTTTTCAAATAGTTCAATTTTTTTCTATATAAGTTGGTCAAACAATAATTCAAAGCAATGGAGGAAAATCATATTTGTGATATCAAACGTAAATGTTTAGTACTAATTGCTCTTACTTCATAATGCAAATAAAATTAACTTAAAATATTTTGATCTATGTTTTAGTCCATTGCAGTTCAATTCATTTCAATCCAAGTAATCTCTGAGTGGTCAATAACTCATCCATTTATTAACTATTTTGATCCACTCACATTCCGTCCAACTCGTCTATTTAACACCTCTAATCATGCATTTAATTGCACAATTTACCCTTTAAATGAGTCGATCTTTAATTTATGTCCTTAAAAATTCAAACTTATGCCTAGCAGGACATAAGTAGGTTCTTCAAGAATAAAGAACATAGCTCATGAAATATTATGATACAAAATATAAACTTATATCCCCAAAAAAATTATTTGCACATAGGGGAAAAAGTGCAAATGATCCTGCATGCATGATCATAAATTCATCTCCTCTAATTAAAGCGTCTTCCAGCGGGTTAATCAAAGCAATTAAAGACTAACATTTCCATTGTTGCTCATAATGGAAGCATAATGAAAGTCGTCAAGCATAATTAATTTTTTTTTTAACAAAGGAACAAAATGAAATAATTAAATAAATAGAATTCATCGAGGATATAATAACAATAATATATTCAATGTAATTCTAGTGAAATTTGAAGAAGGTAGTATATAACACATATGAAAAGAAAATACAATAATGAAAAAGTCAGCTGAAAATAATGAAGAAAAGAACAATATCAATAACAAATATATAAGATGATAACCTAAGCAAAAGAAAAAGTAAATTGAAGAATAAGATATATAGTTGGATAATAATAATAATAATAATAATAATAATAATAATAATATACTGATATTGAAAACTAGATAATGTTTTACTATCTACTAATGATCTACCCCAATCTTTGACCTTCATATCCTCTTGTCTAAAATCATGTCATCGATAAGCTGCAAATGTGTCATATATTGTCTAATCACTTATTTTGAATACTTCTTCGGCCTATCACTATCTCTCTTTAAGTCTACTATAATCAATCTTTCACACCTCCTCACTGAAATATCTAAATATCATTTTTTTACCGGACCATCTGAGCATCTTAAAAAAGATCTTTAACTTTTTTGATAAATAAATGAAGATCATAAGAAAAGGTTATTCAACGTTGACCATGGGATTTTCTTTAATTTTTCAACATAATTTGATTCCCCTTCTTGATTAATTATTGCTGACATAAATTATTTAGAAACTTTTGTTATTAACCACACTTTCAAATGTAATCTCAATTTGTATATATACCAAAAATCACTAATCACACAAAGGAGTACATAAATCTTAGGCTTACAAAATACAAACTAAATATATACTATTTACAAAGATGCTAATACCAAAAATAATTTAGATCATTATAACACTCCAACAAATTATATAATATTGCACCACTATCTGTATGGATGATTAGTGGATTCCACTCAATAATTATCAAATTTTTATAAATAGGATCGAGAAATAATAGAAGGTACGCGGATCTTATTTTTATTTTTATAAGGTAGAATTTTTTTTGATAAATCTTTGATTGAAAAACATTAATTATATCTAGTTGACAAGAGAAAATGTCGATTGAGTTCATGTTAATGATTGTAATTTTGGCAAAAAGTTATCCACATTTTTTTTTGGTCCATCCCACCTACTAAAGGCAAAATCAAAATTTTCATTTTATAATTTTGAGTTTTAAAATAATAACTTTAAATGTTAATAACTGAGTTTAAATTTAATATTTAGCTGAATTCGTAATCTAACTTTTATCTCCTCCTCTGCTCCCACCTACCCCTTTTCTCTATTAATTGAGTCCATTTAGAGATATGTATATTATCCCACTTAGATGATTATCCTATTGCCATGTGAATCAACTTCAAAATTGCTAATATGATCTCATCAATAATTGATAATGCAAGTTCTTATTTAACATTATGATGTGATGCTTTTGCTAACATTTCACATGCATTCACTCTTATATTTTAAAAAAATTAGGGTGGAGCTATAGTATTGTGGATCATGAATTCGATTATACTCAATATTTTTAATTGATTTTTTCATATGCATGTTTGTCGAGTCAAAACTTTTAATAAAATGATTTGAACAATTAGTACTGGTGATTTCAAATATTTATCGAGCCATAACTTATAAGTAACTACTTACCGTAAGGCTTCCTCCCACAAGTGATGGAGTCATATGTATTCCTTTTTTTTTTTGGCTTCCCACACATGTATTCAAGAAGTGTTAATAGACATCTTTTTATTAAAAAATTATAATATATAAATAGGTAATATTCTTTTATATATATTATTGGCTTCCACTGCCTCCCACCTGTTCAATTATTTTTATTAATGGTGGACCAAGGAAGAGAAAGCGAATGAAAATGAATAAATACCTACAACAAGAATCATTATTATTTTGGGCAAATGAAATTAAAATATTTTTAAAATCAAGGTAGTTAAGATATAATTTCCTCTATTATCTACCTCTACTCTATATTTATATATACTCCCTCCATTTATTTTTACCGGTCTAGTATTACCTTAACACATTTCTTCAGAATCAATAAATAAAAGGGAAAAAAAACAAATATATCCCGAACTATAATAAATGGTATGCAGACACTCTTCATCATACTTTTGGGACATTGGTGCCCCTGTCGTCCAAAAACTAGAGCATATATACCCTTTATACTAGCGGACATACACGTGTCATAATCTTATCCACCGATCCGACATTTATTAAATATCAGATGGACGTGTAAGATTGTGCCACGTGTCCCTATTTAGTCTTCAGTTAGAGTGAAGGACATATATGCTCTAGTTTTTAGACGGTAGGGGCACCAATGTCCCAAAAGTATGATGGAGGGTATCTACATACCATTTACGATAGTCTGGGGTATATTTGTTCTTATTCCCTAAATAAAATAACAATTTTACTATTGAAAATGACTAATTAATAATAACAGACCACATAAAGATGGTTTCATAGAGCAACAAACAACTCTCGCTCTTTTCGGTAGAAGGATAACGAGTTGATGCCTTCCAAGTCCCGTAAAGCCAGATGAGCTGCTCCAATTATCTCTAAACGGTTTACACTGAATAAGTAAAAATAAACATCTATTTTAATAGACAAGTAAAAATAAACGGAGAAAGTAAACTATTTTTTTTTTTTTGTTTATTGCTTGAAGGGAAAGATTGTTTGTAAAAAAAATAAAAAAATAACAAAAACAAACCTTTCAAGCTTTCTATAAAAGCTCTATATATAAACTGAAACAGAGTATTTATAAAAAATCATCTCACATTTTTTCATTTTTCAAATATGGATGGAGAATCACAAATCTTGAAGAGCTCAGCTGGACACGGAAAACGAGGAGGATGGATTACATTCCCTTTTACAATAGGTTTCTTTTCTCGAACGTCTCAAAAAAGTTTAATAAGTTTAATCTGTTAGAGAGAACGTTATTGTTATTTCATTTACTTAATTATGTTTTTGAATAATTTGTAGCAACAACAGCGGGATTGAACATAGCAGCAGCAGGTTGGATGAATAACTTGACAGTTTACTTAATTGAGGAATTTGGAATGAATAGTATTGATGCTGCTCAAGTTTCTAATATTATGAATGGCTCTGTCAATTTTGTTCCTGTTGTTGCTGCTATTCTTGCTGATTCATTCTTTGGTTGTTTCTCTGTTGTATGGAGTTCTTGTTTTATCTCTCTACTGGTATATAATCTGATCCCCTACTTTTCTTGTTGATTTTATCGACTTACATTAGGATAAACTGTTTACATCACGTTTCTTGTTGAGTGCGGTCACTGACTAATTTAAGTGGTGCACTTGGTTGAGTGTTGATTGTTGAGTTATTTACTTTTCGGAGTTCAATTCCTACTTCATGCATTTTTTCCTTTTTTTTTTCTTTTATCGACTTACATTAGGATGAATTGCTTATATCACGTCTCTTTTTGAGTGTGGTTAGTGACTAATTTAAGTGGTGCACTTGGTTGAGTGTTGACTGTTGAGTTATGTACTTTTAGGTGATCAATTTCTATTTCATACATTTTTTTTTCCTTTTATCGACTTACATTATGATAAATTGTTTACATCATATCTCTTTTGAGTGCGGTCATTGACTAATTTAAGTGGTGCACTTGGTTGAGTGTTGACTGTTGAGTTATTTACTTTTAGGGGATCAATTCTTACTTCATACATTTTTTTCCTTTAGAGGAGGGTGCACCTATGACTTTAAAATTATCATCTGAATACGGGCCCTTTCATGTATCCTACTTACGTGGATTGTTTTGTGCATCATGCTTTCCTCGGCTGGTGTAGGTGGTTTGATAGATTATTCATACATCAAATTTGTTATTTTATTTTATTTTATTTTGGGGGGGGGGGGTTCTCCTTTTTCGTATGACATAAATAAACATAGTTCAATTATTTTTGTGTCACAATAAGTATAATTTTATAGTTTTGGTGCAATAAACTGAAAGTTGAATGACTATCAAACAAAATTAACTCTAATTTTACAAAAAAATGCCTTTTTTTGAGGATCGAATTTATCAATTTTCGGAGTTTTGTGTTTTTTCTCCTATGATACATAGACATAGTTCAATTTTTTTTGTATCACAAAAAGTATGACTTTATAGTTTTGATGGAATAAACTAAAAGTTGAATGACTATCGGTAAAATTAACTCTAATTTTACAAAATGCCCTTTTTTTATAATGCATCATTAAATTAGTTGTTATCTTCTAACTTTTAACTCATACAGGGCATAGTTCTCTTAGCTTTAACATCAACAATTGACACATTGAGACCTCAACAACTATGCACAAATGGTTCAGGCATTTGTATGTCACCAACAAAACTTCAATTTGCCTTCTTATACGGAGGAATCGCGTTGGCATCCATTGGATTAGGTGGAATGAGAACCAACATAGCAACAATTGGCGCGAACCAATTTCGCGACTCAAAGTACCAAAACATGTTCTTCAATTGGTTCTTCTTCACCATGTACATTGGGACAGTTATTGGTGCAACTGTTATTGTGTACATTGAAGACAATGTGAGCTGGAAATTTGGGTATTTTGTATGTGTAGCTGTCAATTTTGTTGGTTTAGTTGTTTTCTTAAGTGGAAGTAGATTTTACCATTATGCTAAACTTGAAGGTAGTCCTTTTACTAGTTTGGCTCATGTGATTGTGGCAACTATTAGAAAAAGGAAACTTCCAATTTTAGATGAGAATAATTGGTATAATGGACCACATGCCAATGTTGATCAAACCATGTCAATAGCACCTTCAAAAAGTTTTGGGTGAGTTCACTTTATCTTTCGAGTTAATAGTCAAAAACACATTTGAACTATCACATTTTCTCTAGTTTCACACTCTAACTACCAGTTGTTCCTTTTTCCTATCTGAACTATGCCCATCGTTCAGGTAGGAAAAGGAAACAACTGATAGTTGAGGTGTCATGTGGGAATGGGAATAACTGATAGTTGAAGTGTGAAACTAGTGAAAAAACAATAGTTCAGTTGAATTTTTGACCATTATTTGTTATGTTTTTTCTGTGTTATCATTTCAGAGGTGACAAATGAGCGAAGTGAGTCACTTGTGATGCAGGTTTTTGAATCGTGCAGCGTTAATATGTGAAGGAGATGTTAAACAGGACGACTCAATCGCGAAACCATGGAGACTCTGTACAGTAAGTGAAGTAGAAGACTTTAAAAGTCTAATGAGAACTCTGCCATTGTGTTCATCAAGCATATTTCTTTCGACTCCTATCGCGGTCCTAATTAGTTTGTCTGTACTTCAAGCCTTAGCCATGGACAGACATTTAGGACCTCATTTTCAAATTCCAGCTGGTTCAATACCTGTCATTGTACTCGTCACCACCTCGATTTTTCTTACAATATTCGATAGATTTCTCTTCCCCGCTTGGGAAAAATTGATTGGCCACAATGTTACGCCTTTCAAACGAATTGGAGTTGGCCATGTGCTTACTTTTATTGGCTTGGGAGTGGCAGCTTTAGTAGAGTCTAAAAGACTTAATGAAGTCAGAGACAAAGACGGATTCAGAATTTCTGTCTTGTGGCTCGTGCCACATTTAGTTCTTATTGGGATAGGTGAGGCATTTCATTTTCCAGGACAAGTATCATTGTACTATCAAGAATTTCCAACGTCGTTGAAGAGTGTTTCAACTGCCCTAACATGGCTAGTTATCGCGGTTTCATTTTATGTGAGTACCGCGTTGATTGATCTTGTTCGAAGGACGACTAGTTGGTTGCCAAATGACATAAATCAGGGGAGAATTGACAAGTTTTATTGGGTGTTTGCTGTGGTTGGAGTGGTGAATTTTGGGTATTATTTACTATGTGTTTGGTTTTACAAGAGAAAAGTTGGGAACAAAGTGGTTGATCATGGTGCATCTAATGCTTTCAAAAAGTGATTCTAGCTAGCATGGCTCGATCGAGTATGCAGTGGCGAATTCAGAATTTTAATTGATTTGGAGTCCGAGTTATATATACTTGTTTTTTTGTACATGTAAAAATGTTCAATCTCTATGGCAAGTATGTGTATTTGTTCGGTTTGATTTTTGTTATCTTGTTCTTTCAAAGTTTGTATGAAAATCCACTCTGTAATAATTAGGTTGTGTATTTAATCTTTTAGCACGCATATATCGCCTACGCTTTTGTAATATTACTTGAGTTCTATACATATACACAATACTTGATGCTAAATAGGGTTGAGTTAAATTCGATATCCATTTTCTTATCACTTCCGTTTCTCAAAAGAATCACAACCTTCCTTTTCTCTCAAAAGGCTCAGGGTGGGACGGATGAGATCCATTTGCTCTTAATATAATTTTTATAAACAGGAAATGCTTCCTTCTTTAATAAATCTTACATATATAATGCGAATTTGAATTACTCGAATTAATATATTTAAAGTTAAGATTATTGTGACAAGAAAAGTAATATTAAATTGAAATAAAAAAATAAAAATAAAGATAATATGATTAAATCACCCTTTTAATTAATATTTCTTAAAAAACACGCGGAAAAAAAGAAAAGATGACAAGTAAAATAGATCTGCGAAAGTGTATGATTATATAAAAGGAAAATCATAGTGCGATTGCAAGTGTATTTTATGATTTCTCTGGAACGTCGAATGCAAGCATTCAGAGATTTTAATCATTAATGGGCAAAACAATTTGAAAACGCACTGAAAAGAAAAAGCATTAATCATTTGTCTGCAAATTCTGAGAATATTTCAAAGCAAAGTCTTGACCAATGATGCTTCCACTTGTATAAAAATAAATAAATTGAGAAGTATTGAAAACACTTTTAAATCTGACGTAAATTATTGACAAAAGTGAATAGAGAGAGTAGCAAGGTAGATGTGTGGGGTGGTGGGAATCGGAGCTAAAGGGGGTGAGAATGAAGATGAAGCGTATTGGAGGATGGATAGGGCACAATGATTGTTACATCACTTTGTAGATATCTTGTTTTTCCTAGTTTCATTAAAAAAAATAAAGTCATTTTTCTAATTTAAAAAAAAACTTATATTCCTAGATAAAATGTTTTTTTTTCTTGAAAACGTTGATCAAACGAACATGAAAAAATAAAAAGCAAAAAAACATTTTTCTTCGTACCGAACACATCCTTAATTTATGTAGTCTTCTAGTCGAGAGTTAACTATTTCTTTACTAACTAATGTCTTCAATAAAGGCACTGTTGGAGCATTGCCCATGTTTTCTAGCCAAAGGTTAGATGGTTTAATCTTATTTTGGTTAGGTTTTGATTTTTTTTAAAAATTGATTTTAACTTTAAGAAAATTAAAATAGTCATTCATTATATCTATAAATAAACTTTGAGAATTATTTTCATGATAATTGGTATTACTATTTGAGGGGGTTTTCACGTAAAAATTTGATGTTTAATTTGTTTTCTTCAATTTTCACTCCAACTATGGGAGAATATAACTTTATAAAAACTTTTTTCTAATTTTTTAGATCTTTGAATTGAATTACTCAAAACTTCATAATTGCCAATAAGATTTTTTAGAACAAGATATCTAAGGTAGTGAATCTCAACACATGATTTATATTTTATTATTTTGAAATAGTGCATACTATTATAAGTATTGCTACTATCATATGTTAATTGTGAGGGTAAAAACTATATTTTAATATGAAAACAAAAAGACAATGGATTAGACGAGATATTTACTTTTGCAATAAATTAGGTTCAAGAAACCGATGAATTCTATTATCCAAGTTCAACAAATTAGTGATTTTGATTGTCCAAACCATTGGATAACATTAAATTAATATTTGATTCAGAAGATTGCTTAAGTTGGCCCCACTAATGTTTGGTATATCCCATCCATTTTTCACTCATCATTATTTTTTTCTTTTATTTTTTCCTATTATGACATTATTAGCAACCCTAATTAAACTCTTCCTAAATGTTATTTCAACAATTTCATTGGTCCAAATCCCAAATCTTTATATCTAACCGACACATGTCGGTTTCCTTTGAACCTAACACATCATGAATCATCTATATGCGATATCTCTATAATGGTAACACATTTCTGTCCAGCGGGTCGAAGATGAGCATATCATCGATATGCACTATTACTGCCCAGCGGGTCGAAGATGAGCCTTAGGTAGTGGAGTGAGAGAACCACCCATGAGATTTTGGTTGCTCAATTCCTTCCTTATATCTTGTCCGTCATTGCAGAAGAAGTGCTTCTTTTTTATTCGATGAGAATTGTTTATATATATTGCGTTGCATGTTATTAATAATGCCCTATGAATATTGACGTGCCTTTTCTTGCGAGGAAGATGCTGGAGACATGACCTTTTTATCCATCGATACACTGCAGGAATTTGTAGGCTATCACAAGTGAAGAAACTTGTGAAAGCAATATCACGACAGAAAGTAGATTAACAATTTTCATTCCGTCGTCTTCTTCATCATATAACCACATGTAATAACCGATTATTTTCATTAGTTAACATATAAAAAAAAAACTTTTATTTTCCTCTATATATAGTGTTAACTTGTCCACGACACGCTTGGTTAAGGTTTCTAGGTCTTTACTGTTACATACTTCAAAAATATGTTTCCTTCTCATTTGTTAAAATGTCCTTATGAATTAATGAAGCCTTTTGCATACCAACATGGGTTATGGTGCACTGGTGGAAGTGTTTCACCCTTAACCAGAGGTCTCGAGTTCGAGCCCTGGGTATTGAGAAAATACTGTTTGGAGCGCCACCTCCAAATGGGCCCTGTAGTGCGTGATCCGGATTTAGTCGGAGCTCTAATGTGGGCTCTGGACACCGAATGGAAAACCAAAAAAGAAAGAAAGAAGCCTCTTGCATATGGTTGTCTATGTTATTTGTAATAGAAATTGAATGAAATATCACTTTTATACCAATATAATAAAAGAATAAAATGTTACTCTGCAATATCTAAATCACAAAGAGCTTATATCTCTTTAATGTTACTCTACATTTTTCCTTTTCTTTTTGTATTTACTTTAATGATTTGTATATTGTCAATGAACTTAATTATTATTCATATGAATTTAAAATTCATAAATTTCAAATTATGACTCTCTATGAGTTAGTATTAATTACAAATACACATGTTGACTCTTCAGCTACTGCATGGCCCTGTTAGAGACATGCTTTTTTTTTTTTTTTTTTAAATTTTAAAATCGGCCTCAAAAAAATAGATCTCCGATTGAACCCCCAAAGATCAATTTCAAATTAAATACTATTTATTATTAATTTTTGACAAAATCAACCTTCGACGATCGTTTCATACGCACATTTATTAAGCCAATTTTTTTAATAAAATGATTTGAACTATTTGTACGTACTTGTGATCTCAAACATTTATTAAGCCAAAACTTTCAAGTACTTACCCCAAGAGTCCCTCCCAGAAGTGGTGGAATCACATATATTTAAAGGGTGTCGATAAACACCCCTTTATCAAAAAATATTACAATATATATTATATCGACTCTCGTGGCCTCCATCCTTATCATTTATTTTTATGAAGGGTGGATCAATTAGGAAGAGAAAGTGAATGAAAAGGAATAAATACCTACAACAAGAAACATTATTATTTTGGGCAAATGAAAATGTTTAAAATCAGGTTAGTTAAGATTTTTTTGCCTCAATATAGTTGAAGAGTCAATATGAATATTTGTAATTAACCACTTTCACGATAGAATTATGATTTAAAATTCATTTCTTTTTCATTTGAGGTGAGATTTTTCAATACTCCAACTCACGCCCAAAGTTGGACATCTAAAGCATAAACTATTTAATATAAGGGTCCAACATCGATAATAATAATTGGTATGTGCCTTGCTATAATACCATATAATTAAGAAACAAATTTTAATTTGGCCCCTAACTCAACTTCAAAAGCTAAAAAAGATTGTCCAAAGTCATCTAAGAAAACCACCCAACCCATTTTCATATAATATGATATGCTTTAATAAGTTCATCAGAATTCAATATTTTCAACGAAGAAAATAAATTTATATGTAAAAATTTATTGAAATGAAAATACGCCTCCACCTATCATGCACAAAAATTGGAATCCATGTGATACTAATATCATCATGCAATTGTAGATGTATTTTTATGAAGGTTGACTATAGTCTATATGACTCAACTTGAAGGGTCGGTTTTGAAAATTCGAATCTGAAAAAACGTTATGAGAGAACTCAAAATATTCTAAATCTAAGTACGCTAAGGGGAAAAAAAATCATTTGATCACATCGAATAAGATGTTTTTTTTTTTCTTTTCTTATTATTAACTTATTTATTTGAACGAATTAGAATGTGTTGAGTAGGATACTTTTTAATTTCTTATTGAAATTGGATTAGGATATTGTAATGTAATTCCCCTCATAGTACTTATTGATAACTAATCCCTTCGTCTAAGTGTTGCTTTAGTAAAAATATTCTTCTAAAATAATTATTGCTTTAGGAATTTAAGATAATAATTAGTACATTATTTTCAATTATATTTTCATAAAAAAATCATTTTTTAATAGAGCTTAATTCTCAAAAACATCGAATAAATAGGGGTAATTTAATAAAGAGATAAGGGTCTGAAAATATCCCAACTTTGGTCGAATTTGTTGTTGCGATACTAAACTTTCATGAGGACCTATTACCTCCCTATACTATTTAATAGGGTATTTTTTACACCCTGAACTATTTAATAGAGTATTTTAAAGGTATATATGTGCCCACGTGGACACATTACTATTTATAATTTTGCATTATTTTTTATGTCCACGTGGGCAAATATATATGTTTAAAATACTAAGCCATGGATATACCTAAACCCCATGCCCAACTGATATTGTCCTCCACATAGACGATGAACGCGGTGCTTAAAGCCCAACAGAAGT